TCTGTTTTTTTTATACTTTAGAAATTTGTCCAAGTTTAATAATGTGTGAAAAATCTACAATTTTCTGTTTATTCAGTGTTTGAAACAGCTGGAACAATAAATTTTTTAAAATATATGTTGTACTTTTTTTTTAATTTAGAGTAAAAAAAATAGCCCTAAATGTCATAAAAAAAAACGACTCTTGATTCAAGAGAAATGTCAGATTTTTAGGAAAATGGCCATTTATCAATTAATCGTTAGTCGATCGATAAGATCAATCAACTTTACATTAATCCATAACTTGCATCCCTGGTTAATATTGTTAAATAACAAGCAGCAGCTACAACTTCTCTCTCATTAAGAGAAACAGGATAAGCGTGCTCCCACTGTGACGTGCTCTCTTTGTCGGACCCAGATTTTGGTCACGCGCGGTGGAAGTTGCACATGTTTATGTATCGTTTACGCGTCAAAGTAACGTGAAATGTTCATGTGTATTTGGCCCGGTGTGCTTTCCATAGTAAAATAATGACAACGCTCCGAACACAAACGTTTAACACAAAGTTGGACTTTAGATACAAAAGACCAGACAGGTCAGGGCTCGGTTCTGAACGGGTGGAGATAACTGTGTAACAACTCAGGTAGCTCCTCGACAGCGCATGCAAGTTGCACGTCTTTAAAATAACTACGATGCTCTGAACACAASAACGTTTAACACAAAGTTAGACTTTAGATAAAAAAAAAACCGGGCAGGTCGGGGCTCGGTTCTGGAAGACGAGTTGAAGTAAGGGTGTAACAGCTCAGGTATCTCCTGGGCTGCAGCGAACTGGTCACGCGTGAACACATGCATTTAATACATAGACATTTAATAATTTAATACATAACTTTACCTTCATGCAGGGYGGGTGGTTCTGGTAGCGGGTTGGAAAAAGAAAAAAAGTTCTTGGAAAAGTCCGAGCAACTCTGTTTACGTCACCTGCAGTTCCGATTCCGCTCAGACAGCAGGACCCGCCCTGCTCTGCTCTGATTGGCTAAAACTGTGACTCTGGTTCTTTTTATTGGTTGAAAGCAGCGTCAGTTAATCCATCACAACACAAGTTTGTTTGTTTTTTCTTTTCTCAACAGGAAATGCGCTGCAGAGTCGGCCGGGGGAGACGGAGAAGTTTAATCGCTTCTGCCCGACAAAATTTAAGATCTTTGAGTAAAAAATTTAAGACCAATTTGCACATTTTTTATCAAATTTAAGACTTTTTAAGGTCTTAATTTTAGATATGTAAATTTAAGACTTTGTAAGACTTTTTAAGGACCTGCGGACACCCTGAATGAAGCCAGCTTTTTTTTGCGTGTGATCTTTGCTTGCCAAGTATTGAGTCTTACTCTGTGGTTTCCCAGTACGTAGAAAATGTGGCCCAGCAGAACCAGAGAGCAGGCAGTGAGTCTGTTCAGATCCTCTGCGTTAGACATCTTTAAAGTTTCTCTTAGGAAACGTCTGTAATAAACGTAAACATGAAACATGAAAAAATTATCAGAATAAGATGTCTTATGTGTCTTTGAAAACTACAAATGTGAGCGTGTCCCTACTTTGCCTCATTGTAGCGTCCCTGAAAGAAGGATAAGAGACCTCTGATGTAGAAAGCTGCAGCACGGAGGCAGTGGGARCTGAAACAAATACAAATAATTCACACTTAATAATGTAAAAATATTCATTGCATTATTATTTCGCAAATATACAAACAAGCAAAAAATAGTTAAAAGCTTACCTTACTGGGAAGTTGTGGTCTGGATTTATTCTCTCCAGAAGGTTGTATAGCTGGAGGAATATTAAAACAGAAGGTTTGTTAAAAGAAACAAATATATTCAAATTATTTTCAAGAACAACCTATTTTAATTGTTGCTGTATCTAATTTGAAACCAACAATAACTTTGAAGTCCCAGCTGTGTTTTTAGTTTGTGTGTATGTAGGAAACAGCTGAACAAAAACCTGTCAGCGCCCTCTGGTGGAGTTAAAATGTAAAGAAAACACAGTTTTAGATTAAATCTATCAGAACATGTTGACAGGAATAACTTTACTTTTTGGCTTACCATGACAAAGTTAACTAGAGAATTTGCATTTCAAGCGTAAATGCAGTGTGAATGCTTAATGCTGAAAGATTTCAGCTAAAAGCTGCTGACGTCAAGCTGAAAAGGTTTAAAAGCAAAACTGGTAATTTGAGGTAAGTTTGAACAGCTGACTTTTGCTGAAAGTAAACAAAACAACGGAAGTGAAATTTAGTAAAAAAACTAGTTCAAAAATAATTGAAAATAGCAATAGTAATGAAAATAGCTAAAGCAGATAAAATGAGTAGAAAAATAGCAAAAGTTTATAATTAGCACAAAGAAGCAGAAAGAGCCCATCTGCTGAATTAAGCAGTAAGAAGCTGAAATTTTATTTTAAAAAATTGAATTTAGTTGATACTCGGACAGGTGGATGTGTCCCGCTGCCTGCCAGACTGTGGATGTAAACCATTTCTTTTATTTTGGCTATTTAATCAAAAAAAATTCTGGAAAATAAATGAAATCTAGCATTTTAAAGCACGTACAGAGAGGATTCAATTTCTCCCTCCCTCTGTAGTAAAGCTACGTTGCGTGTAACTGAAATATTGTGCTGTGGGGATTATTTATCCCTCCCACTGTACCAAACCAATAACTGTGGTTGTTTTTTTTTCCACACAGGTTTTCTGAGGAAAATCTTGTTTATTTTTTTTTTGTTTGTTTTTATTGCTACTCTCAGAGATTTAAAAAATGACTTTGACGCTTTGTTTCATATTTCATCCATGTTTTCAATTATTAGACTAAATTCGCCAATAAATTTTTGAAAATATATTTTTTGCAGCTTTTCGTTTTTAATATTAATTTACAATATGGTCACCCAACACTTAACAATAGCGTTTATGTTGTCATAAAGTTCAGTGAACAGATGATATGAAGCTGCTGCACACAGAGTTTCTGGGATCAGCTGACCTGCATCCAGAACSTGATTTGTATAACTGTGGGTCGAACAGCAGGGCAGGTCCCGAAAATAAACAGTAAATAAATGGAGAAGCTAAACAACACAGTTAAACCGTTTTTGAAGCGAACACAGCAGGATAAACTTAAAGTATATGGACTTTGATGCGATCAGCTGGACATTGAGAGAAACAGAGTTTCATGCCACGGGGGAATGCTGAGCTCGAGGCGCTAGATGCATGTGCTATATACATGCATGCCTGCCTGCCTGCCTTCTGTAACGTTGGAAAAAAGAGCGCACGAGACACTTAATTTGTCTTAAAATACAGACATTCTGACAAATAAGTAACTGTTTGTAACCTTACCTCAGCTTAGAAGGCAGAGGGTGTCGGTCTTTTCCGCTCAGATTCTGCTATCGAAGCATGAAGCTAATGTTTACTGACAATGCTAATGCTACACTTACTCTCTGGTGCTCAAGAGGTAGAGGAGCTAAATGGCTGGCTCACTCCTGCCAACTAGTGGTCAGAGGCTGAACTACAACACAAAAATGAACGGCTGGCAGGAAAGTTGACATTTTAAACCTTAATAAAAAATCGATACAGGGCTTTAGAATATCGATACAGTATCGGGACATGGAAATATCGCGTTATTTCAGTGTATCTATATTTTCTTACACCCCTATTAGAGAGTGACTCAATCTGCAGTGTTTGAATCTGCTTAATCAGATGTCATATGTTATGTACCTCTGCACCTAACCATGTTAATATATACATTTTAGTACAGTACACATCTTTCTTATCTTTTATCAAATTTTGAACATTTTGTTTTGTGTTTTCACTGGCGTTGTGTCAACACCCCCACCCAACAGCCTACCACCACCACCACAGTTAAAAAATATCCTATAGGAAACCCTGCTATACTGTGTATGCTTGGTAAGCATTCACACAACAAATCATGTTAAAAGACGGCTAACTGCATTTCACTACTGCGTAAAAAAAACCAAACTCAAACATTACTGCTTAACTAACCTCCTGGTGCCGATTTCCTTCCCTTATGTAGACGCTAGCCAAGTTGGTTACGATGTACGTCCACAGCTCCTGGTGTGTGGTGAGCTGAAACACAAACATATTTTTCACAAAAAGCAGAATAAATTATAAGATTTTAAAAAACAGAGAACAGAAGGTGCGAGGAGAGAAAACTAAGGGACTCACCCGTAGTGCTGTAGTAAACTGTGCCTCAGCGTTGTCCATACAGTTCACTGAGATACAGTACAAACCCTGCAAGATACAGACAAAACATTCTGAATACATTCATTATTACTTAAATACAGATATTATCTGTATTACTTAAATACAGATAACCTTTTCTATATTACACAGATACATATTGTGTTTCCATAAATGTGTTTTGTTTTAGCAGTGAGACCTGAAATTTTWAATTTAATTCAACCAAACCACTCATGAACTCATTTAAAACAAAACTTTGTTGATTGTAAATTTGCATTTTGWCATTATAAATGCAATCATTTAAAATCTGTTTGAACTCACAAAACATTATCTTTAACTTAATTAAAACAGGACATTTAACAATTGCTTGTCTGGAGACATTGCCCTCAAATTGCGGTGCAAGCATCACTAATGGTACTCAGGACTGAAAACTAAAAAAAAAAAAACGTTGCTGAAAATCGAAGTTGCTCAAGCAAATGATCTTGGCTCCAAATGAAAAATAGTCAAAAGAAAAGTGCTGTGGTTCATATTTTGAGACTCTCATTGGAAACCGGAGTGGACAAAGGTTACCTGATGTGTTAGTAGTTACTCAAGCAGCTCTGCTGATGTCGTTATAGACCCAGTTATCAACAAAAAATGCAAAACAGAGAAGAGAGTCTGACAGAGCCGATTAACTTCACTGAACATAAAATTCACATCAAGCAGATGACGATGATATGGATTGATTAGGGAAGTAATGATGTTTTTTTTTATTTAATTTATTTTTATTTGCTATTTCTCATACTTTGATAGATAAAATACTTTTGATKTATTGGCAGTTAGAAGTTAGGATGTTCTCAGTCATTACGGCGCTGACGTCTGCTTTCCGGGTGTTTGGAGCAGAGATTGCCAGGACCTAGCAGTGGTTCWAAATTTCGGTCCTCRTGACCCACTATCCTGCATTGTTTACTGCTATTTCCCTGCTTTGGTACACCTGATTTAAATGAATGAGTGACTGACAAGCTTTTGCAGAACTTACAGACCTGCAGAAGAGAAGGAAAACAACTGACCTGTAAGATTGTTAGTGGTTCAAACATTTATGGAAAACCACCAGGGTGATCATTCAGTCCTGACCCTGACTCTCAGGTAAACAGAAACTTAAGTTTATGAATATAACCACGGTTCCTTGAAGGAATGGAATGAAGTACAACACACAGTTGCATATGGAACACGCGCGCCTGGCTGAAGCCACCTCTAATCACGTCTTTAGACCGGTGACGTTGAACGTCTGGTGACAGGCTCCGCCTTCACCCTATAAGTTCGGAATCACCAGCGTCATTA